TATGCCAATAGATTGCTTTTTGTGTTATAGGCTGAGAATAGTTTCAGTGAAGAAGAGGAAGAAAAACTTCAAGCTGCATTTTCTCTAGAGAAGCAAGATCTTCACCTCGTTCTTGAAACAATATCATTCATTTTAGAACAGGTATTTTATTGTCCCAAACTTCCTAACCATGGTTTGTTTACTGCATGTTTGCATTGCTGTGATATCTCTAACATTTTATCTTATTTTTTAGAAAGTATAGATGGAAACTGTGAATATATTTTGATCAAGAATTTCAATGTAGTGGGAAAATATTTGAATGTATGATTTTTTCCCTGGTATTGGATCTGCAAAACAGTCTTTGTGTTGAGTAGTGGAGTAAAGTATTTGATAATATGAATCAAGACTTCATTCAATTGAGACAGCTTAAAAAGATTTAAATTTATTGTTACTTGGTATAATAATTTGGAAAAGTGAACCCATTTTATTTAAGAAATTTAATGAATGATTTGGGGGGCATTTATTTGGCTATGATGATAAATAAAAAGAAGAGAAATAGTTGTCAGAGGACCTTTTGTCATACTGCTTCTTCGTACTGAGCTGCATTCATTCTTTTCATCTAAATTCAGTCCATTGTTCAAGTCACGTCTCCCATTGCAGCCTTGACCCCTTATACTTTCAGTCTTCCCCTTATTTGGGTTCCTTTTATCCTTGGCTCGTCATGGTGGAGCACATTGTTAGTCTTTTCATTATTTCATATATGTCAGTTATGTCTCCTCCACTAGGTTTTTAATTTGTGGAGGGGACAGAATAAGATATTTTGTGCATCTTACACAAACCTAGCACATTACTGGGCTTAAAAGAGATTCTTTACAAATTCTTGTTGTTCAGTTAAGTAGAACACTTGTGAAATAAAAGTTAGGAGGACAAGCTGCCAGGCATCTCTTACATGCAGCCTCATGCAGATTACAGAGCATGAAGATGACGGTGGTTCTTTTCCTTGGTGGACCTTTAATAGAAGAAAAGGGTAACTGAACAGGATAGAACAGCATGGGGTTTATGAGGAAGTTGTTACAGAATGATATAAAAAACAGAACAGTTACCACTTTAAACAGTTTTCATTTTTTTTATTATATATTACCTAGGAAGTTGGTAGAGGAAAGTGGTTTTAAGAAAGTGTTTCTTGGAAAAATTTTGTGAGTTGAGATACAAAACCATTATATACTCATTTGAAATAGTTCAGTGAAATAAGGAAATGAATTTTTAATTAGAATACCATTTACATAACTAAAGCAAAGAAGTTTTTCTGTTAAGTGGATTTAGTATTACTTAAACCACAGGCAAAAATAAAAATGTTTAGCCTGAATAATTTAGGCTGTTTAATCCTGAATCTTCCAGCCCTTGGTTGTGTATATTATTACTTCTAAAATAATAAAAATTTTCTTGCAATAGAAATACAAAATTTTTTGGGGGGGGGTAAATCATTTAAAGTAATTTTGTAGTTCAAGGTCTCTGTATGAACATTACGAATATGAAACCTAAAAAAATGACACAAATGAACTTATTTACAAAACAGAAACAGACTCACAGACATAGAAAACAAACTTGTGGTTACCGAGCAGAAAGATGGGTGGGGAGCGTGTGTGGAGAGATTAACTGGGAGTTTGGAATCTGCAGATACTACTATATATAAAAATAGTTAAGTGACAACGTCCTACTGCATAGCACAGGGAACTATATTCAATACCTTATAATAGCCTATAATGAAAAAGAATTTGAAAAGGAATATATATAAATAGCTGAATCACTATGCTATACACCAGGAATTAGCACAGTGTTATAAACCAACTATACTTCATTATAAAAACAAAAAAAAAATTGGGAATATATGTGATTTTTTTTTTCTCTCAACTAGGCTGTATATCACAACGTGAAGCCAGCAGCTTTGCAGCAGCAGTTAGAGAACATTCATCTCAGACAAGACAAAGCAGAAGCATTTGTCAATGCTTGGTCTTCTATGGGTCAAGAAACAATTGAAAAATTCAGGCAGAGGATTCTTGCTCCCCACAAGGTATAGGATATACTACCCAAAAGCTATTTTTCAATAATGTGTGACATGAATTATTATACCTGAAGAGTGTTTAAGGTGATAATCTTTGTAAAGAGGTAAATCAGGGAATAGGAAGTATTGTATCTAATAAGCCTATAAAGGTATTTCAATATGTATTTGCTACCATTGTGATTTAATTTTAATTGCCAGTTTAAAATATGCTTCTATAACTTAGGAATGAGACAGTCTTTTTTTTTTCTGAGTCCTTGGGCAGAGTTGGTTATTCTTTTAACTATCTTATGTATAAGACAAAATTTTCACTGAATCACGTATTTACTTGTTTTTGTGTGTTCGTATCAGGACCTAGCAGAATGCCTTCTATGCAGAAGGTACTCAATACTTGCTTAGTAGCAAACAGTAAGCAAAATGAACACTTTGGGAAAAATATAAAGAAACAGCAGTGTCACAAAGCTCTTTAGTAACCTTTAATTACTCTTAATGGAGGTTAAGATGATCATACAGATTTTGCTCTGTTTTTCTGTTAATATGTTGTATTGCATAATTGACTTCCAGATTTTCAACCAACGTTGTATTCCTGGGATAAATCTCACTTGGTTGTGGTGTATAATCCTTTTGGTATGTTACTGTATTTGATTTACTAATATTTTTGTTAAAAGATTTTTCCATCTGTGTTCATGAGGGATATTGCTCTGTAATTTTCTTGTGATTTCTTTGGTGGTAGCAGGTTAATACTGACCTTGCAAAATGAGTTGGGAAATGTTCCCCCACTCCTCTTCTATTTCCTGGAAGTATTTGTGAAAGATTGGTATTTTGCGTTTTCACCAGCATTATGTGAGAGTTCCAGTAGTTTCAAATCCTTGTCAGCGCTTGGTATTGTCAGTTGTAGTAAAGCTATTCTGTTAGGTTTGTAGTGGTATCTTGTGTCTTAAATTTACATTTCCCTAGTGACAAATTATGGTGATGATCTTTTTGTGTTCTCACGTGCTGTCCATATATCTTCTTTGGTAAAGTGTCTGTTCAGATCTTTTGCCTAACAGTATTTCCACATTATGACAGATGAATAATTATAGTAATATGAATATAAAGGACAATTACAGGTGTAAATCTCAGCATATAGAAATTCATGAGTTTTGTTTTTGTTCTTGTTTTTTGATTCTTACAGTGTGTGGAGGGTGTTTGTTTTCTTTCTGTTGAGTTTTGTGAGTCTGAGTCCTTTGTCAAATAAGTGATTTGCAGATATTTTCTCCTAGTCTGTAGTTTTCCTTTTCAGTTTCTGAGTGTCTTTTGCAAAGTAAAAGCTTTTAAATTTGACGAAGTTTGAGTTATCATTTTTTTTCTTTTATTGATTCTGCTTTTGGTTTTGTATCTAAGGACTTGTAACCTAATGCAGTGTCACAAAGATTCTCTGTTTTGTTTTCTTCTAAGTGTTTCATAGGTTTATGTTCTACATTTAAGTCTAAGATCCATTTTGTGTTAGTTTTGTGTAAGGCATGAGGTACAGGTCCAAGTTCTTTTTTTCTCATCTGGTTGTTCATTTGTTCCAGCATAATTATTGATAACATCTTTTTGCCATTGAATTGCCTTAGCCTCTTTGTTAAAAATCATTTGACATTTTTATCTTTCTTTTTCTGGACTCTCTTTTTGGTTCCATTGTTCTCTTTTCTGCCTTATGCCACTACCATGCTGCCTTAATTACTGTAGCTTTGTAGTAAGTCTTAAAATATTGTTAATCTGCTTACTTTGTTCTTTTTAATTTTTTTTTTGGCTGCTCTAGTTCCTTTACCTTTTTATATAAATTTGAAAGCCAGGTTTTTTTATATCTGCAGAAAAGCCTCTGGAATTTTGATTGAGATTATTTAATTTATAGATCACGTTTTAGAGAAATGACTTCTTACCTCTGTATTGAGTATATCTCTCCGTTTATTTAGGTCCTGTTTGATTTCTTATATCAGTGTTTTTCATTTTACAGATTCTGTGCATATTTTGTTAGATTTGAACATTCTTAACCTGAGTATTTTGTTTTTTTGTTTTTGCTCTGAGTTATAAGTAGTACTATATTTAAAATTTTGGTTTCCAGTTAATTTGTATATGAAAACACAGTTGAACACTTCTTGGCCTTTTGGCTAAGATCAAATGTATAGAAACACAATTGATTTTTGCATATTGACATTGTATTCAAGACCTTGGTACACTCACTAGTTACAGCAGGTTTTTTTGGTTTGTTTTTCTTGTGATTTTCTTTGTAGACAGTCAGGTTGTCCATGAATACAGACAGTTTTACTTCTCCATTTCCAGTTTGTTTGGCTTTTGTTTTCTTGCCTTATTGTGCAGACTAGGACTTCTAATATGATGTTGAATAGGATTCATAAGCCTGAGCACCCTGCTTTGTTCTCGGTTTTAGAGAGAAAGCATTCAGTCTCTCATTATTAAGTAAAGTGCTAGTTGTGGGTTTACAAAGTGTATTCTTTTCATTTCTCTCCTTTTTTTTTTTAACTCTATATTCTGAGAGATCACAAGTGTTCTCAACATCAGTGCTTTGTTTTCATCATTTTAATTTCTGCTTTTTCTGATATCTTGTACAGATTTTAAGTTTTCCATTTTTTTGTCCCTGAAATTCTTCTTCAACCATCTTCACTAAAAAAAAAAAAAAACTCCAGTTGCCTTTGAATATTTGCCGGTTTCTATTTACATAATTTTCTTCTGTTTTTCCTTGCATTTATTTGAGTACAGTGTACTTGTATTGTTAAAAAAACCCTTCTTTTCCCACTTCCAATTTTAAGTCATTTTTTAGTGTCTTTTGGATGGCAGTTTGTTACTTTTTTAAAAGTAATACTTCCTCCTTATATTATTTTGAATGACATTAACTTCTGTTTAAGAAGTGATTCAATCAGTTGTCATAGAAAAGATGCAAAAAATCGTTGGAAGGACCTGATTAATTGTACATTGGTCCCTTGAGAATATAGGAAATCACCTTTTGCCAATACTGAATATATGAGAGGATAGCTATACATTATTTTAATGCCTTAAATGTTTAATTAAGATAATATAATAATAGCAAACATTTCTTGTGTTATTGTGGGCCAAATATTCTACTAAGTATTTTATAATAAGCTTTATATCTTGTAAACCCATTAATAGTTCTAGTTTATATTTAAAATTAAATTGAGGGTTAGAGAGATTAAATAATTGGTCCATGGTCACGGAACTAAGTAAGTGGCCGAGTTGGGATTTACACGATTAGTTACACTTCTAAGCCATTATACTATACTACCACTTAGATGTTAGCAGCAGAATTTTTCTGTGTCAGGCATTATGCAGGGTGGTTTATGTAGTTTTGTGTATGTGTGTGTTTCATATCTTTGGAAAGGAAGGAAATAAAACTTTAGAAAATCTAACTTTGCCATGTTAACCCAAATGGTCCATGATGATGCTGAGATGGAAATTAGTTTGGTCTGTTTCTTAATTAAGCCTTGTTACCTTTTATGTTGTGGTACCTATGGTAGCTATAATGTTGTCTTCCTTTTTTGCCTGATAACTGTTTAGCATAGGGTGACTAAAATAGCCATGGATGAAAATAGATCATATCATTTAAATTGTAACAAAAATATATGGCAATGACTTACTATATAGTGAACAAAAGGTGTATTTACAATGACTGAGTGTTGTTTTAAAATAATTTAGGGTTCATGTGAACTATCTATGTTGGGCTTGCAGTGGAACATCTGTGGAAATAATTCTAAATTCAGAGAGTTACATTCAATTAAATAGGAAGTTAAAAATCAAAAAGAGCTTATCTTTAATTCAATTTTTCAAAACACCTCTCTTTATCTTCTATTATTTAAATCTAATAAGAGAGAGGCAGACTGAAAATTAATCTAACTGATAGCTTTTTACATGATGTGATTGAAAGGATTTAAAAATTTTATCCCATCGCACTTTTTTAAAAGAATACATTTTATCTTAACCTCTTTGGAGACCTGAGACTGAAAAGTTACCACTGCTTATCAGAATTTGTATTCTTTCCTCTTTTATCTGTGTTGACTATGTTAGCAGTGTTCTAACAGGGTTACCTGTTTGATTTTTGTTATAATGCCCATGTGGTTACATTTGTTAAATTACAAATACACTTTCAGACATAACTTGAATATTGTGTTTAATTTTAGTCCTAAAATTCTGGTTAGAGTTCCTTTATGTATATTTCTACCATACACAATGTAAAAACTTACATGTCAAATATTACTGACATTTATCTCTTTTTTTCTGAGACTTAAGGAAAAGAATTGATTTGTTTAATGTAATTTTTTTCCCTAAAATATGTTTACATTCCAAGTTCACCCTATTCCTTAGTAACATGATTATGGGAAATATACATAAAGCATATTTCAAGCACTCTGAGTACCCTGCTTTTTTAAGGCTACAAGTACTGATTCCTTTTCTTAAAATGCACTTATATGTTTATTAGGGAGCTTTTTTAAAGGTAAATTTGACAGTTGTATCTGTTTTGAATGCTTAAAATGCATGTAATGTGATTTTTCCTGTTAAGAGTGTTTTTAACTTTACCAGTCATGTAGCAAATTTAGTCGTAATGTTTATTCATTATATAGTGAAATTCATCATGTCTTCTCATTTCATTATATAGTGAAATTCATCGTATCTTCTCACATGTTCTTGAGAAACATAAAAAATGGATGGCCCTCCTAATAATGTTCCTAAGAAGTCTAAAAAAATCCTCTTTAAACTATTATAGTAAGATTTACTTTATTGTTAAGTATAACAACTGTTTGCTTCACTAATTGTTAAATACTGTTTATATGTAATATAAGAAATTAGAAATTTGGATTTGACGTTTTTAAAACTTACTGTGTTCTTTTTGTTTTGTTTTCTTAAATATTCTTGTTTCATTTCTTTTAGAATTCTAAGGATGGCTGAATGGCTTTATTATAAAGAGAACAGAAAAAACATACTTCATATTGCTTAATCTTAAAGCACAATATGTAACT